CTAGTTTCTGCTATACTCTTTTCCAGTTTTCCCAGCAGTTTTTGTCAAATAGTGAGTTCTTATCCAAGAAGCTGAGGTCTTTGGATTTATCAAACATAGATTACTACAGTCATTGACTACTAAATCACAACATTTTTAAAGAAAAGAGAAAAAAATCAAAACTAATTAATACACTGAAGAAAACCTGAAAATTTATTTTAGCTTAATTTACTTTAGGGCGTTCCTATTCCCACCAGCTCACTTCCCTTCATCCTCAAGCCCCATTCCAACTCCTTGTTTGTTTGTTGCTGTTTTTGCCACTTTCCCTAGTTTGGGGATGTTTTATTATCTGTTCCAGTTACTCTTTTTCTTTTATCAAGTTATCTAATACTTGCAGTCTAATTTTTCTCTCAATTAAAAAGTCATATGAACTCTATTTCCCTATTCTCTTTCAACTTGTTATATTAAGATTTTTTTTCATGTTCAATGACTTTTTCTAGAAAGTATTCATTTCCCTTGTTCTTTTTGATATTTCTCTTCCCTTTCTGTCTTTTCTAGGCTATTATTCTTTGATTAATGGCTTTTAAACTTATTACTTCATTAGTGTATGTATTCCTAAACACATTAATTCTTCTAAAGTACCTATTTTCTAGTTTTCTCTTACAAATAGTTTATATTTTGTTGTCTTTTTTATCTTGTCCCCTACCCCTACCCCTTTTATGCATTGCCTCACTTTTAGAAATACCAACTTACACAAGTGATAGAGAGGATATTTCCCCATGATTGGAATTTTCCTATGTCCCTAATCATGCAATTCAGCATTAAACCTCCTTGCAATCATTTTTTTGCACATTTGCCATTAAATATCCTCTCTGCCTCCATGTCCTCCCACACTTCTGAGTGTCTATTGCCTCTGGGAGGGCTGACTTCCCTTAACCTGGGCAGTGTGTTGTTCATGGAGACACAACACTAAGAGGTGTTGTTGTCTCTAATCATCAAATCCCAGCAAAATACATCCACTGTAAGGTGGTCTCCTGTTAGAAAATATCTCTCTCCCTTCCAAGGGAATATTCTTCAGTGGGACACCTTTCACTCGTGTCTCCCGGCATACTTCTAGAAAGAAATCTTTAATGGTCTCTCCATTACTGTTGTCATTGTAAAGCACATTGGTGTCCTCCTCCCATTTCCCCTCTCTTTTCTTTTTCTGGGGGTAGGGGGGTAATTTACTTTACTACCTATCCCTTCTCTGTTTACTGTATTTTTTTTTTACTTTTATTTCTGTTGGCTGGGATATTTACAAAGTAAATAATTTGCTCATAATGTATGCTTTTCTTCATAGGAATTCTCCAAACTGCAGGCCTTGTCACCTTGGATTTCACTTCCTTTGCTCTTTGCAATGCATTATTCCATTTCCCCCTATAGTTTCTGGTGGCTATAGAATAGTCTTACATTATTTGAATTTTCTTTTCTCTTATATTTCAAGGTCTTTCTCCAGGTCATTTGCAGAATTGGTTGTTTTTGGAGTTAGTACATTTGATTACTGATTGTCCTGAAGACACCATTAGTTTTGTTTTGTTTTGTTTTTCCCTAGAGATGATCTGTGGATTCTTTTTACTGGCATTTGTTTTCTATGTTCATAGGTTCTAGAGTCTTTATTATATTTAGTATCTCATTAAAAACTGCTGAGATAACTAGAAAGCAGTCTAGCAGAAACTTAATATAGACTAACACTTAATACTATAAGATAAGATAAGTTCAAAGAAAGATATATGACTTAGAAAGACAGAATAACATCAGAAACAAAGTAAAGGAACAAAGAAGAAACTATCTTTAAAATGTCTAACTGGGGGCAGTTAGGTGGCACAGTGGATAGAGCAACGGCCCTGGAGTGAAGAGGACTTGAGTTCAAATCTGGTCTCAGACCCAACACTTCACACTTATTACGTGTGTGACCTTGGGTAAGTCACTTAACTCCATTGCCTAGAAAAAACAAAACAAAACAAAAAAAGAATAACTGGAGGAAGAGTTCAAGACCAAATGATAGAAAGGATCACAGAAGATAAAACAGACAAATTTGATTATATAATATTTACAATGATCTGCACAAACAAAACCAATGCAACTAAAATTAGAAAAAACTAGACTACTGTCAAATCCACCTATGTGTCTAGTAAGGATGTAGCCGAGTCTTTATTTTCAATATGGATCATCTTCAGATTGAAGCAAAACAAGAACATTTATTGGGAAAAAGATCAGGGATCTGAGTTCATGTTAGGTGGCTGTAAAATGAACAAAATGAATTCTACAAATATTAAACGCATAGCTCTATTCTACAATGAACCAAAATCTCTGGTTTGGTCTTTTAATTACAACTTCCCAGATTTTAGATGAGCAGCTAGGTGGCAAAATGGATACAGCACCAGCCTTGGAGTTAGGAAGAACTGAGTTCAAATATATAGCTATTACTAGCTGTGTGACTCTGGGCAAATCACTTAACCCTGTTTGTGCCTCAGGTTCCTCATCTGTAAAAGGAACTGGAGAAGGAAATGGCAAATCACTCCAGTATCTTTGCCAAGAAAATCCCAAATGGGATCATGAAGACATGACTGAACAACAACAAAAAGATTTTAGACTTCCTAGCCAAATCTTAATGTAGACCCACATTTCATAACTAGATTATCCCCACTTTAGAGAGAGAATTCCTGTTATGGTAGGATTTGATACCTATTACTAAGAATATACCTAGATGGTTGCAACTTTCATACTGTACTTCTTAGCAAGACTATATAAGGTCTTTATATCCACAGTTCTTTGTAGGTCCTGAAATATTTTTAGACCTCCTATCAATTATTGTAGGAAAATGTATTCATTTACGATGACTAAAACAGATTGTCACTTTCGCTGAGTTAGTCTTTTTTAGTATAGTTGATTGATTAGTTAGATTTGTTCCATCAAACTGAAAAGGAGCTTCTTAAAATTATTAAGTACACTTATCTCCTTTTCAAAATCATACAACATCATTATTTCTATTCGTTTCATTACTATTCTGTAGTAAATGAACCTTGTCAATGACTATAGGATCTTCAGATATCCTTCCTAGTTTTTATTAAGATTTCATCTAATCTCAGTTTACAAATGAAGGTTTTTCTTACAATTTTCTGTTGTAGTATACAACAGATCTATTGTAGATTATTCTGTAACTTGGAACTGCGGATATTGCTGACAAGAAGCATCAGATAGACTTTGTCCCTCTAACTGGCAAGATATGTTTCCCATTTTCTTTTGGGAAAGACACTCTTTTTGCTCCTCAGCTAATATATCATTTTCTTTTACACACTTTTAGTTATACAAGTTTTGAATAATTTGTACTAAATACATAAACATATAATTGGCCTGTATTAAAAGAGGTCACGGATGTTTTCAACTTTTGATAACAAATATGTAATGCCTCCTGTGTGGGAAAAAAAAAGGTTGTGTTAGGCTTGTATCTAGGAGGAAAGGCCTTACTATTAATTAATTTATAACAGCAATAATAATTAATAACAGTGATTATAACCAATAACTGTGGAATTTATCCAGTCCTATCACTTTCCAGTTTTGCAGAAAAGCCAGTTTTAGTACCTCCCTAGGTAAAACTTCTGTCATTCATTATATTAATGATGCATAAATTATTTTTTTCTCATTTGATCCAATTTGCAATTTCATTGTGCTAAACTTCTTGAGACTATGGATATCCAGAAATTTTCTACATCTTCTGTTTTTCTTCCTTTCTTTCTTTTTGCTTCTTTCTCTTTTCAAACCTCCGTAATAAAGTTTTTGATTAATGTTGAATTGTTCATATTCTTCTTTGTTTTGCTTTGTATAAACCTTAACCTGGGGCAGATAGTGAATACAGCATAGGACTTAAAGTGTCAGGAAGACCTAAGTTCAAATTCTATAAATGCTAGCTATAATTAACTTTTATATTTTCTTTTCAATTGTTGATTAAACTAATCCAAAATTATTGATATGTTTTTGTTTTTCTGATTTCTTTCCACATTTCATTTTGTTGCATCAAATAGGGCAATACGAAATTTAAGTTTTCTATTGCATGTACCAAGAAAATGTTGATACAATCTTCGAACACCATTCTGCAGAGGTTTAATAGCTCTGCTGTGGTCATATTTTACACCTGTGCTTAGGGATATTACTTTTTAGCTTCATCATTCCTCTCATGGTTCTTAAAAAGGCAATGGATACTGCATAGTTGATTGTGTAAGTCCTTTTTTTCATTTTTGGTCAAATATTACAGAAGAATGCATTTGTTCATGATAATTATAGCAGATGCTAGCTTTCATGAATTGATTTGCTAGATGGATTCATGTCATCAAACTGAAAAAAGATCTTTAGAGAATTCCAGTCTAAATATGCCTACCTAATTTTCAAAATCATTTAAAATCTTAGTATTAATTTTGTCATCCATGTATTTATTTATAATTTCTAGAGTTTGCATTAAATGGAGATTTTCAATGACTTTGGGATCTCCAACTTTTCCCTCTTCAAATTTTAGTAGCTATCTTATCTCTTACTTCTCCTAATCTGGGCTTTAAGGTTATATGTTTTTAAAAAGAATTACCCCTTTGTGGCTAGAAATGTTGCTGTATGATTTAATGTTTAGTGTAGCACTGATAAAAAAGCAAAGCCATATGAAAACTTTGCCTATAATTGGTGGCATCTGTTTCCATTTTTGTTTTTATACTGTACAGTATATTGTACTGTATATACTATACAACTTTATACTTTATAAATGTTTTCAAGTATTCAGTTCTCTTCATATATCCACTTTCCTGGTCATCACCATCTGCCTTGAAATGTTTCCAGCATGCAAAGTATTAGAATTTGCTTTTTCTGGTGGTTTTTGTCTTCTTGTGGCGCTACTGTCTTCCATGTCAAGCAGTCCCATGCTGCACCATTTCTTAGATTCTAAGGAGTAATTTCATCATACTGGCTAAGTTGCTTACTTAATCACTTGTGTCACAAGAGCTCAATTCCCTAGTGACTAAGGATTTACTGCAAGGACTCTACAGCTACTATAGTGGTATCAAAGCTCACAAAATCTCCTTGTCTGGCATTCCTTTACTTTGCTGTTACCTAATCCTTCCCCTCCTCACAACCAAAACATGGAACAGACTTTGATGGGGCCGTGATTATTATTACTATCAGCAGCAACAGCATCATCTTCCATATGCTTCTCTTCTCTATTCCCATTGTTTCAACCCTAATATAGGTCCTCATTATTACCCACATAGAATATTGCAAGAACCTCTTTTGAGATTGCCTGTCTAAAACCTCTATTTTATAAAACTCATCCTCCACACTCTACCCAAAATAATGTATCAGTATTCTAATCAAAAAAATTCAATAGTTCTAATGTCTACTAAGTAAAGTTGAAATTTGATTACTTCGCATTCAAGATCCTATATAATCAGACACCAGCCTACTTTTCAAGTCTTCTTTAATATTATTCCACTCTATACTTCAGCCAAACTAAATTACTCTCTGCCCTCTAAACCCCACTCTTATTTCCACACCATGGATAAAAACAAAAAAACTGACATTGTGATCAATTGCCTTCATACCTTTGTTCATCCTATTTCTTATGAATCAAAGGCCATCCTTCTCTTCAGTCACCTATTAAATTCCTATCCATTCTTTAAAACTTAAGTGCACTTCCTTTATGAAGCATTCTCTCCTTGGTAACAACCATTTCGCTCAGACCTCAAATGGCAGTTGCTGATGTATTAAGCATCATATAATGAGAAACAGCATGATATGTTGCATAGAGAGCTGGCCTTGGAGTCAAGAAATGGGTTCAAGTCTTTCCTCTAAAATATACTGGCTGTGTGACCCTGAGTAAATCATTTAACCTCACAACGCCCCAGGCAATTTAAAAAGGAGACAAATTGCATAGAAGATGTAGATCTGTAACAATAAAAATACATATTTGGAAATTTTATGCCATTGAAAACACAGATTAAGTACAAAAGAATTATATTATAGTTACTTTTGACAGTGCTCTGCTCAAAAAAAGTAATTGATAAGTCTGTTCAATCAATGAATGCTATAAAGAAAAAAGTATAAGCATAAAAAACTGACAATTTTCCAACTCATTATATTCTCTCCATACCTTAGTCATGGCTTGAAAATAAAGAGGGGGCACTGAGTACTTAAGCCATCTTAGGTATTCAACTTGTTCTAAAAGAATAAGTCAGGTACTCTCAAGAACTTAGCCTTACTATAACATAAATATATCTACATGCTATGCATATTGTGTGTATGTGTGTCTGTATATATTTTGATATACATATAAATGTATAAGCATATAAGTATATATCTATGTATGTATATCCTTTCTCTATAAACAACATTGTAAGATTTTTTTTTAAAATACACTTAAGTAAGTTTGAGTAAATATATGCATTTTCACCTGAACATACACGGAATAGTTACCCATATTTACACCAATCTTATTAAGACTCCTTTGACTAAATTTATGTTAAAGCACAAATTTTAGATGAATTTGAAAATTAAAAAATTAAAAATAAAGCTTACTTGAATAAATGTGAAAATAAATATAATTTTAATAATATGAAAAAGAAAATGACAATATGATAAACACTTGATGTAACTAACTTTTAATTTTTTATAAGATATATCACTAAGAATAGAGACCTTTTAAGATAAAAAGGAACTATAAGGAGCAGGATTAAAAAATTTTGTTGTTACCGCTTGCACTTGGTTTTTTGTTCTCTTTGGTATTATGGGAAATTTTAATGGACTTAAGAAATATATATTCTTAAAACTATCTAGTCCAATGCAATATACTATTATTTATGAATTTAAACCATAAATGAATAAAGTCAAAACACAGGGTTCTAAATATGTTTTTCAAACCATATTTTATTTGAAAATGCAACAGCTTTTATTTTTTAATGATTACATTTTAGGATGTCTTATTTGAAGTCAGTTTCCTGCTTTGCAACATCAATTTTTAAAAAGCTGTGGGTCTTAAGTGAAGGAATATAAATGAATGTCAGTCCCCGCTGGTAGATTTGAATATATAACTTCTTATTGAAAGAAAATAACATGTAATGAAACTGCTTATAAGAAGTTAGATCTCAAACAAGAACCCAATGTCCATTTCTACCTCATACCTTCATTCTGCAATCAATGTCATGTTTTTCTTTTCTCCACTGTGTTTCCTGCTTCCTCAGGTTCTCCAAATCATTTAGCAGTTCATTGCAGTGTATACTTAATTCCTTATTTTCCTCCTCCAGCTCTTCGATAATTAGTATGTTTTTCTCTTCCTTCTTCTGTACCCTCTCCTTAGTGTTCTGCAGACAGTACCATGAGGACCAATAAACAAAACAAAACAACAATAACAACAACAAAATCAAGAATTAATCAGCAAATATAAGCTATACAGTTTTACCCCCACGGCAGCTTTCTATATTTGATGGCCAAGGTCACCTGTGTACTTTTATTGGCCTCTTTTCATGCAGGTGGAAGGGTCATATTTTTTAACTGGATGACAGCTTTGATGAGCACACATTTACAAAGAGCACATTAATTGATCAATCTGCCTTTGATGCTGTCCCCAGCTATTTTTGAGACCCACACAGACATATCCTCCCAGACCTGGGCTTTATCAATTAATAATGCTAGTCCCATCAGAATCTAATTACAAGAAGCCACATCTTCACACTCCTACTTTCTTTGCTCCATTTCCATCATTAACTATTTATTTGAAAGTTATAAAGCTTAGATTCTTAGCTTTAAAGCAGCTTTCCCAGAGTTTTGAGTGTAAGAAAACTCTATGATACAGGAAGGCCTAAGGCAATTTTTCCTCTAAGCTTGTCACTTTCTGTGCCACAAAGGCTGACAATGCTTAAAGAAGGACTTCAAAGCTACAGTTCTATAAAACTATGTACAAGTCAATATACCTTAAGCTCTTGACTTTGATCTTTAAATTTCTTCTGTAAGTCACTCAATTCTTTCTTTAAGAAAACATTTTCTTCATCCACAGCAATTTTCTTTTCTATAAGGGTATTTATTTCCCGTTGTGATCCTGATTCTCTCTGTTGAAAAAAGTGAAGAATACTTGTAAAAGCAATGTTATTACTCGAATTTCCTCATCTTTCCATTATTCATAGCTAAGATAAGAAAGTTTAAAAACTCATTTCTGCAGATTACGAAAATCTCATATTCATATAGTGCTTTTGAACAAATAATTGTCCTAGCAATAAATCTGTACAAGGATCCATTTTTAAACTTATACTAGTGTCAAAACTAGTACTACACAATGTACCACATAGATGCTAAGTTTAGTGAACTATCCTACCACACTGTGCCTCAACTAACATCTGAAATTTGACTTCCTTTGTTATAATAATATTCATTAAATTCAGTTACCCAATATAAAATAGCTTTTAGAAACTACACTTTCTATTTGTGTGTGTGGAAAAGAATAGGTTGTTATAAGCTAAACAAGTCAATTACAGACATCTGCTACTGATATTTTTAAGGTAATTTAACAGTGGGGGGACCTAGGGGACTCAATGGACAAAGGTCTGCATCTAGAGTCAAAAAAGACCTAAGTCAAATCCAGCCTCAAGACACTTACTAGCTATTGTATGATCCTGGCCAAGTCACTTCTGTCTGCCTCAGTTTCCTCAACTATAAAATGAGGATAATAATAGCATCTCCTTCCCAAGGTTGCTGTGAGGGTCAATGAGACAATACTTGTAAAGTGCTTTATAAATGCTTATATTGCCCCCTCCTTTCCCTCTCAATAATGCTAAATAAAATTAAAGGTGTATATAATTCAAGGTCATATAACAGGCTTCGATGGAGTGAAAAAAACATCTTAATTATAAGCTTGAATATAATAGGCTAAATTCAACCATAAAATTTCAGGTATGTACAATGGATTAGAAAACAAAATTCATCCATTTTCAGCCAAGAAGAAGCACACAGAAAACAAGTACACCATTAAAGTGAGAAGCTGGGACACAAGTGACTCTCAATCAGCTGAGCCCACAAAAGTAGTAGTTGTAATCATGACTTCAAATAAGAAAATAATAAAAAGAGAATCTATCAAAAGAGACAAAAAATGAAGAGTATAATATAAAGTTATTACTTACCATGAAACAATATTAATATTAAATATTATGCACCAAAATAAAGAGTATCTGACTCTGCTTTAACTCTTTTTTGAATGAAAAACTAACTAAAAAGCTAAAGAATTTGCATACAAAGACAATAATTATAGATAACTTTAAAGTACTTTGTTCAGAACATGACAAATCAAACCAAAAAAAAGCAAAGTATGAAAATTAGAAAACATTTAATAAACTATAGTGATGATTAACAGGGAATCTTAGACAGCATCAATACTTTTGAGCATTACATAGCACAATTAGCAAAAGCTCTTACCTTCTAGGGCATTAAAAAACCTATGGTCTTATTCGAAGGCATGATTATGAAAAATATTGTTCACAAACACTAGCAATGAAAATTAAATAAGGGAAATTTTTTTAAAGTACAGGTATAAATAGAGAATAAGTAATGAATTAATCAAAAAACAAATCATAAAAACAATATAATTACATGTAAAAAATAATAATAATAACTGTGAGAAACTAGACCAAAATTTATGGGATGGAACTCAATCAGTTCAGGGAGGGAAATTTATACAGCTGAATATTAGGTTAACAAAAAAGAAAAAAGAATGGTTTGAGCATAATTTTTTTAAAATAAGAATATATATAAAGTAATAATATCAATGCAAAAAAAGACATTTTTAAAACCAAAAGTTAGACAAAAAATAACAGAAAAACAAGACACCAAAAAAAATTAAAAAGACTAGTGAACTTAAAAAGAGATCATTTTAAATGACTAACAGAAAACACAAATATTTTTTATTCTAATTTAGCAAAAGAGGAAAAACAAATGACCAAAATAAAAACATAATATGGAGTATTCATACCAATAAAATTCATACCAATAAAAATACAAGGATAATTGTACTCAATTACATCCTAAAAAAATTTTAAAAAATTTTGTAAGTATAAATACGTTTTAGCACTTTTTAGGACTGAACAAGCCATAAATGAGCTCTCCCTCCCCTAAAAAATCTGACTCCACTCAGATTTATTAATGAATTTTATCAAATATGTAAAGAACAAATAATCCCTTTCCTACATAAACTATCCATAAAAAATAAAAGAAACTAGCTACCAATCAAAAGCTTTTTATTGGGGCAGCTAGCTGGCGCAGTGGATAGAGCACCACTCCTGGAGTCAGGAGGACCTGAGTTCAAATCCGGCCTCAGACCAAACACTTGACACTTACTAGCTATGTGAGCCTTGGCAAGTCACTTAACCCCAACTGCCTAAAAATAAATAAAAAAAAAGAACAAAAGCTTTTTATTTAGACAAATAACAAGCTCATAAGCCAGGGAGAAATAATTCAAAGAAAGAGAACTATAAAACAATATCAAGAATTCAATAATATTTAATACATGAAAGACATCATTACATTCTGTGGATACAAACAACAAAGGGAAAACATTCTCTTCAGAGATTACAACATTTGGGAGCTACAAAATATACACAAATGAGTACTGTACGAATTGTGAGTATGATCAACTTATAGGCCAGTATCTTGTGAGTAACTGTGGATCTCAATAAAGAGGTTCTGTTATTTCAGGATTTGATAGTGATTGAAAAAAAAGATTGAAGGAACTGAGCTCATATCCTAATGAGAAAGGACCAGGATTCAAATCCCAGCTCTGCTACTTACCACTTGTGCCACCCTAAGCTATTCATTTACCTCTTTAGATTTCAGTTTCTTCCTCTATCAATGGGGGATTTGGACAAGATTGTCTCGAAAATATCTTTTAGATCTAGAACTAATAACTTCAGAAGCACACTATCATAAGAAAACAGGAGCATCTAAAGAACCTTATTATGGGTAGGGAATTCTTTTTCTTGGACTTGGCAAAAGACAGCCTCCATGATAGTGCTAAAAAAAAAATTCAGCTAATGTAACTGGCAATTTTCTGTTTAATTTAATATTAAAGTTAATTAAACACAAACACAAAAGTGGTGCCATACCTTTCCCTTGTTTAGGGGGTTTGTTTGTTTTACTTATTGTTTGTTCAAAAGAATGCATTTGCATTATATAATTTGGTGAATAACATTCTTGAATAGCTCCATATGCTCCACATGCAGGTACTCCCTCTAATGATGTAGCTTGCGAACAATTTATGTTGCCTCCTGCTCTGTGATTTTAATCTATAAATTCACTACAGATCATGTGCCTCACATACTGAATACCATTCTGTAGAACATTTAATACCTGGGAGATGACAATTCTATACTTGGGATGTCCATCAGTTAAACCTCGTTCTTGCTACATGAAAAGCACATTGATTTTTCTTATCCAAGAAATATTTAGTGATGTATTTTATGCTATTTCAAAAGATTTCAGAGTTGGAAAAGGACCTCAGTCCTCAGCTAAAGTCTTAGCTCAACAATGTGCCTAACAAGTGATTGTTTGGCCTTTCTATGAAGACTACCAAGGAGGAGGAACCACTACCTTTCAAAGAAGTCCATTACACTTTTCAAGAGTTCCAATTGTTAGGATATGTTCCTTTACATTAAGAGTAAGTTTGTTTCATTGCGAATTCTACCTACTCTTCTTAGTACTATCCTCTGAGGGCAAAATTTAAAAAATATATATATAATCTCTGTTAAACATAAAAGCCCTTTAAATATCTGAAAAATAAAACTATTATGTCTCCAGTGGTTTTTCTCCAGGCTAAACAACATATACAGTTATTCTAACTGATCTTCACAAAGGAAGAAAATGAGGCCTTTACCATTCAGATTACCCAAAAGGAAACTATCCAACTTATCAACATCCTTCCTCAAATGTCATGAAAAGAACCTAACATAATGTTTCAGGTGTAGTCTGAAGGAGAGCAGGACTATCTATCACATAAGTCAACCAGATCATCATAATCTCAAAACAAAGCAAAAGCAAAAATACAGCCAGTTAAAAGAGATAAACAGGAAAAGAACATCTTGCTGAAAAGTACCATAAAAAATTAATTTGTATCAATACAAAACACATAGGCACCAAAAGGCATTGCATGTAAATTTTTAAAGGAAAATTTAAATTAGTTACAGGGAGAAATACATAGTAAAACTATTCTAGTGGGGGATCTCAATTTACCACTCACAGACCTATATAAAGCTAACTAAAAAACAAACAAAAAAGAAATGAAGAACCTGAACTGAATTTTAGAAAAGTAAATAGGACAGACCTTTGGAGATTATTTAAATGGAAACAGAAAGGAACATACATATATCTCAGTTGTTGATGATACCTTGCTTTACAACCACTGGCCATGGATTAGAGTATAATAACTTCATGAAAAAATGCAGATAAGAAGAAATATTAAATATACTTTGTATACCATGATATAATACAAATGATATTCAATAAAAGGCCACTGAAGCAAAGATTAAAAAGTAATTGGAAATTTAAGAACAATCCTAAGGAATGAGTGAGTCAAAGAACAAATCATTTAAAAAATCAATAATTTCATTAAAGTTAATGGCAACAAGGGGACAACAAATGGAAATTTTGGAGATGTAGCCAAAGAAGTAATTAGGAATAAATTTTTATCTCTAAACACATTCATCAATAAAAGAGAAAAAAAGCAGAGCAACAAATTAGGCAGGTGATTTAAAAAAACAGAAAACAAACAAATTACAGCCCTCATCCTAAATTAAACACCAAAATAGAAATCCTGAAAAATCAAAAAAGAAATTAACAAAATTGAAAACCCAAAGAAGTGAATTAACAAATGAAACTCAGACCTAGGTTTTTTCAAGTCAAAAAAATAAACCATTAGATATTTGTATTTTTTAAAAGAGAAAAGAAAATCAAATTACCATCATCAAAAAAGAAAAAGGCAAATTGGCAACCAATGAAAACAAGAAATTACTAGGAACTATTTTCTGCATTTATATGACAAAAATGACAGACTAAAATGTAAACCCAACTG